CATACATACATACATGCAAAAAAAAAAAACGAAAGATAAATACTACACTACTAGCTTAGCATGAAAATCAGCAGACCCTACTTGAATTCTTGAGAATCGAGGAGAAGAGCAGCTGGTAGAAATGCGTTTTATTTAAATTTGCAGCACAGCGACAACTAAGCTTGGTCTGTTTGGTTTGCTATAAGAAAACGAACATGCATGCTTAACAGTTTTGCGGAGTATCTGAAAAAAATGCCCTGCTATCGCTTAAATTTCGCCTAAGCTGTTAAAAAGGCGATAGCAAAGCTAAAGCTAAGCATCTTTGCAATTTCGCCAAGGTATTTCTGTTCGTCTGACTCTAGAGATGAGAAACAATGTCAGAGATTTGCTGAAAAGGCAAGCACACTCGACTGCAGTTCATCAATCAGGGCAACGAGCCAGACAACATCATTGATCAATCAATGAATGGGGCATGGGGCATGGGGCATGTGGCATGTGGCATGGTGCCTGGGCATGAGTACAGCAATAGGTATATGGCATGGGGTATGGGGTATGGGCATGCTCGTCGTTGTGGCTGTCGTTGTCCAAATGAAAATTCAATCAATTGGCTGACATTTAATGGAGGGAGACGTCAAATGTGATTGATTGATTGATTGATAATTAAAAGTGGCGCCTGCAAGCCGACGCTCAGCGCCAAATGGCGGCAGCCAGCTTGTAGCTGCTCCAAGAGCAGCCAGAGAGATGAGAGAGAAGGAGAGAGAGAGAGAGAGAGGAGAGAGGGAGAGAAGAAGCATAACTGCAGTCAACTACATTTAACATTATGATAATCTGGCGCTTGCTAATTTTGTGCGCCGCTTTCAAGTTTCGCCGCAGAAGCCTCCAAACTCTGGACGAGCGACTGGCAACTGGCAACTGGGAACTGATGACGACAATTGAGAGCCGAGAACAGGAACTGGTGACTGGGCCAGTATTTTATTGTCACATTGGGTTTTTCTCATACAATTTGAATAGAATTTAAAACGGCGCCTGCTTCAGGCGCCTCACAAAATCAATGTCTTTCAATACACTTCCTATGCGAGTCTTTCCAGTTTGAGCATCAGGTTTGACGTCATAGGTTCAAGATTTATTTAGCTTAGGAAGTCGCTGACGTACGGAGCTTGAAATACACGCTTATCACAAGGCAGGGTTTGAACCAATAGCTGGCTTGAAGCATGTGAAAAGGCTGGAAGCTGGTTCGAACTGTGAAGGGAATCCCTGACAGTTCTTTTTGGCTTTGCTTAGTCTAAAACACATTTTTATTTTGACATTGTCTAATATTTTAGCCAACATTTTGTTTATATTTAAATATATTTTTAATATAACAAAAAAAAATCCTGTAAATGTTTTTATATTTTATATCAAAGCTGAGCTTTGATCGAAACTATTGAGAACTGCAGAGAAAATAAATTTAGATAGTTTTAATTGAGCAACTAAAAAAAAGTAGAGTACTTAATAGAATAAATTGGAAATCAATCGGAATTTCTAAAGTCATATAATATTTCATTTCCAGATAAATTTCTTATAAAATGCCATTTAAGTCAAGCATAGGGTATACAAAGTGCGTTGTCGCTTGCTTTCTTAAGTGAAGTGTTTTTTTTTTTAATATTTATATTTGTATTTTGTTTTTGGCCACGTTTTGCGCCTGGCCAAAAGAGTTTGTTTTGTGTTGCCAGCTAATGAGCTTTATTTAATTTTATTAATGGAATTGCCAACATTTATCATAAATTACAAATCGTGATCGTGATAAGAGCGCCAACAACAACAACAACAACAACAGCAACAGCAACAATTGACTGACTAGACGGGACTCTCCAGTTGCCGGAGATCTGATCTTCTCCAGCTTCTGCTGCGACGTCGACTTCGACTTCGTGTCATCTGTTCATTCTATTGCATAATTAAGTTGTCGTGTGTTGATCTTTGATAATGACACACAATATCGTTGTTTCCATGCCCTGCCAGAGGGCATTATGATTTTGTTATCAATGTTGTAACTCCAGCTCATGGATATATATGTATGATTATATATGTTTTCTTGATCAGTTTGATTAAGCCAAGTATAAGACGAAGCATCTATGGAATACGTCGACAAATGTTAGCCCAGATTTCTCGACCCAAATTTCGTCTATACCCTGTATATAGATCTTATAGACATACATTGACTATAGCATATAGATCCCAAATTGGATACTCTGGGGAAAACTTGTCTGTTCTTCAGGACATCTGCAACTACGCGCTACACTTATGGTCCATAATGCTGTAAGGGTATTTGAACTTCGACTTGCCACAGCTGGTTGTTCTCCTGCGTGTGTGTTTGCCTTTGAAGCGCCGCATTCAAATGATTTGCTTAATTTTATTGCCCATTTTTTTGGCTTTAAATTTGGTTAGCCATTGTCTGGCTGTGGGCAGTACCCAAAAAAAAAACATACACACATACACACATACACACACACACACACACACTCACACCTCACACCCTCCTGCCTACAACCTGCAGCAAGCACAACTCAGGCTTCAGTTTTATTGTCAAGCATTTGCTAAAAAGCTAAAACCTAATCAGCTTTTATTTATTAGCTGGAAATAGTTTTTTGCTTTCAACTTTTTGTTGTTGTTGCTGTTGTTGTTGCATATTTTCGTAGAAATTTATGCCATAATTGTCTGTCTGGCCCGATCGGGTTTGCATCATTCATGGCGCTCCGCAACGCAAGTGTCCTGTATCCGCCGGCCGTCTACTCCAGCTGCCATTGGCTGCCAATCAAAGCGCTGGCGCCAGGGCGCAGCTACAAAATTGCTGCCGCAGCAGCAACAATTGCTACTTCCAGTTGCAACAACATCAGCAGCAGCAGCTTTTGATGAAATGCGCACAATTGTAATTCAATCTGAATGCATTGTGGCCCGAAGCGACACCAACGCGGCCTGCGGTTGTGCATTGTTGTTGCTGTTGTTGTTGTTGCTGTTGTTTTGTATACCCTGTACTTTTGCGCAATGGGTAAATAGATGTGTGCAAATGTATGTAACAGAAAGGCGCAAGCATCCCCCTGAGCAGAACGTCAAGCTGAGTCGATTTCAAATCATATTTATTGCCTATTAGCATTTTATGCAGATATATCCTGCAATTGATATAATATCGATAAATATCGATTTTGAGATTTTTTTTTTTGTAGCACAGCTCGAAAAATACAAGTTGTAGATTCTCCAAACATGGTATACTATAGTCATATGGTATATTCGATTAGAATATTTAGATTAGGAATATTTCACTTCTTGGTTAGAATCGGATTGAAGCTGCACTTAGGGTATCTCCTAGTCGAGCACTCTGACTTGTTGTTGCTGCTGTCAACTGAGCCAAGTGCTTATGGTCACAATGACACTTGCTGACGCCAGCAACTACTTGATTATTGGATTAATTGCATTATGAAACAGCACAAAGAGTATGCGCTCAGCATGTGCTCGACTAGTAAATACCCTGTAACACATTAAACACATGCATCAAGCCATAGAATTAGGTCTTAAATATACTTAAAAGTTTTTTATAACTAAAGTTTTTAAGTTAACTCTGATGCATGCACTAAAAGCAAAAAGCTCACTTAAAGCTGTTGTCTAGCTACATGGCTTACAGTTCTTACACTTTTTAAATGCCATAAGCTCGATTAAAGCTTTGGCCTAATGCAAGGAGCTCACTTAAAGCCCACGTGTAACTTTATGAAAAAGCTAACGCTGTCTTTTTAAGCTCTCGCTAAATGCTATAATCTCGCTTAAAGCTTTCGCCTGATGCAATGAAACAAGCTTCAGGCGGTCCTGCAAAGCAATTAAGCACATAGAAAGCCCTTTTTTAATGAGTAAAAGAAAGCTTAAAGCTATCTATAACTACACTCAAGCTCAAAGACAAAGCTTGTGCTAAGCTTAAAATAGTTCGTGCAAGCTGATGAAAATAAATAAAGCCAAAAACCTTTTAATTCTCTGAATAAATTTGTAATATTCAACTGGTGTCATTTGGCGCTTTACTCAGCTGTAAATCCGATTTGTGCTGTAACATGAATATATTGTGCACAAATTAATTTTTGCCAAGTAGTGTACCAGCTGTGGTTCTCTCGTTTTGTATGACAAACAGCGAATGTACTGTAAGTAATGTGTACTTAAAATAGTTATCTATGGGTATTATCGAGTGTTGAAGTGATCTTAACAAGAGGCGAAGGTCTTTCTTTCGGCTGCAGCTGTTTTTTTCATTTGTTAAGAAATACTTATCGAGCAAAAGAAAGACGAGCTGAGTCGATCGAATCACTTCCTTCTGCCTATCTTGGAGTTCATCTCGGAAGCTGCAAGATCTCGAGATTAAAGATTTAAAATATATACTCTCGTATATCATGCGCAAGACGAGCGATAAACTGGATGCGCGAATCTTGGTATGTAGGTGCTCGAGAGAGAGATTAAATGTATTTCAGTTTTTGGACATCTTCTCCCATTTTGTCCATATTTGATTCCTGAAAATTTCATAAAGATCGCACGAATAAAACCGGAGTTATATAAGGTTGTTTTTTGCAGCATGCTCAGTTTTGTGTTCTTATGCAGAAAGTAGGAAGCAAGAATGTTTGTAAGATACAGGGTATCGCCCAGTCGGTCAGCCCGACTGAAGCACACTTACATGCATTTCTCTGCCCGATTCTGACTCCATTTCAAGCTTGCAGCAGTTAAACACTAATTGAAATATTTTGGAAATCAATCAACTTAATCTTTATGCTTTGCCTTGCAGCCACGCGACAATCTGACCGGGCTGGGATTGGGCTTCTGCGTCTGCATATAATGCAAATGCGGCCATGTGCCCGCTAATTGGCAAGCTGCTAAAACGCATGGACAACGGTTAAAGGCCACCTAGAGTGCGAATATTAAGAGACAAGCAGCGAACAAGAGAGCAAGCGCAAGAGAGAGAGAGAGAGAGAGAGGGAGACAGAGAACAAGTGAGAATTTGCGTACTTAAGCGCCCAACTATGAAGCGCCTTTATCTGAGCAGCCTGCTCTGCCTGTGCCTGTGGCTGGGCTCGTTCGGCGTCGGCTGCGAAACGCTCTATGGCCTGCACACGGACGAGCTGATGGCGGGCGAGGGGCAGCTGGTGGTGCCGCGGCGTGTGCACGCCGACGGCGCGTTCATGACGCACAGCCTCCGCTATGCCCACCAGCGGGATCATCGACGGCAGCGTCGCAGCGTTGAGGCACAGCCGGAGCTGCATTTCCAGCTGCCGCTGCGCGACGAGACGCTGCATCTGGAGCTGACGTAAGTCCTGGTCGTTGGCTACTCTGTGCTAGCAGCAGCAGCTCCTAACTCTGCCCCATTGTGCATTGCAGACCGCACAGCTACTTTCTGGCGCCGCAGCTAATTGTGGAGCGACATCGTCGCGATCTGCGCACACGTGCGCCGCCGCCGGCGCATCAGCTCAATTGCCATTTTCATGGCAAGGTGCGCGGCCAGCCCTCGGCCAACGTGGCCATATCCACCTGCTCCGGTCTGGTGAGTGACTATCTAATTAATTATATATATATATATATATATATATATATATATATATATATATATATATATATATATATATATATATATATATATATATAACATATATTCAGCCAGATGTGCAGATTTTCACTTATTTTCCGTTATTTTCCTTCGAGTGTAGTTGCACAATGCCAAGTTTGTTGCCTAAGTCATTTGTTTTGGCAAGTTTGTTGCCTAAGTCTTTCTGCTTGACATTGATTTGCTTTTTGGGTTTGCTTATTTCGTTTCGCCTTTTGCCAGGTGGGTCACATTAAGACGGCCAGCAATGAGTATTACATAGAGCCCTCGAAGCAGCATGCAGCGCATCCAATCAACGGGCATCCGCACGTGGTCTTCCAGCGCTCCTCGGTGAAGCCCAAGCAGAAGGTAAGCCCAACAAATTGTTGTGCGCCCGAGCTGCCAACACACTAATTAGCGTCCATTTGTGCGCTGCTTTCTGTTCGCATTTGGCAGGCGGATACGCACTGGCGTCACAAGCACAAGCGCAAGCGCAAGGAGCAGCGCCACAAGGCTCAGCAGCGCGGCAATCACAGCCAGAGTCAGAGCCAGAGCTCGAGTCTGGTTAGCAATTGTGGCACACGGGAGCCGCGGCGTCGCATGGAGACGCGTCTGGAGTGGCAGGCGCGTGGCAAGTTTAAAATACAGGGCGGACGCAAAGTGCGACGCCATCATCATCATCAGCTCCAGCAGCAGGAGCAGCAGCAGCAGCATCTTTTCCATCATCATCATTATCAACATCAGCTGCATTCTCATCGGCGCCTGCAAAAGCATCCGCACACGAAATTCAAATACGATACACAGCCGGTTGCGTCGCATATGGAGCGCAGCCGTCGCTCGATCAGCAGTCCGCGGCACGTGGAGACACTCATTGTGGCGGATGCGACAATGTCCGCATTTCACAAGGACGTCGTCAGCTATCTGCTGACCATTATGAATATGGTGTCCGCCCTGTACAAGGATCCCAGCATTGGCAATGCCATCGAGATTGTTGTGGTGCGCATCATACAGCTGCAGGAGAACGATACGGAACCGGAGCTGAATCTCACGCAGAATGCCCAAAAGAATCTGGATCGCTTTTGCAGCTGGCAGCACAAGCTGAACACGCTCAACGAGAAGGATCCGCATCATCACGATGTCGCCATACTGATAACACGCAAAAATATTTGCGGCAACAATTGCATGTGAGTAGTAGAGCCCACCCGAAAACCCCAACACCAGGCCCCCCGTTAATCTATGCCCGTCTTGCAGGACTTTGGGACTGGCCAATGTGGGCGGCATGTGCAAGCCGAAGCAATCGTGCAGCGTCAACGAGGACAACGGCATCATGCTCTCCCACACAATCACGCACGAACTGGGCCACAAGTGAGTCGAACAACTTCCGTATCAGTTAGCATGCTTCCCCCGTAGCTGCCCCGGCGCCACATTTGCATAGACTCTGTCCATGCGCATGTTGGCCAACATCGAAATGCACTTCCAGTCCAGCTCCGGTCGCTTGGCCGCCGGCAACGGCAACGGCCAACGCAATGCAAATGCATCAATTGATCGGCCAGCCAAAAGAGATTTATGTGCAGCCCAATTCGTTTAATGAATGAATCGAAGCAGCCAGCCAGCCAGTCGGGCGTGCCCGACTAGCGGTTACCCAGCGCCAAGCTGACTTGCCAAACATGCTAGCTTCCCCTCCTCCTCCGTCTCAATGCATTCTTAACTAACTGTGGTGCTTATTCTCCGATCTTGTTGGAATACGAAATGAATGATTTGATGCCCTTGTTGATCAAGATATCTTGATAAACAAAAACCCTGCTTTTCGACCGATTGTTCCTACGGCAGCTATATGATATAGTGGCACGATCCACCCGGTTCCGGGATATGTCCTGCCTGCAGCAGAAAGACAAACCTATGCACAGTTTCAAGACAATAGACAATAGAAGGACAAACGGACTTGGCTATATAAACTCGACTCAAAATCGATATTTATCGATATTACGATAATGAGAGAAGAATATGATTAACTTATTCTAAATTACATTCCTATGATACACGGGAATATATTTATTTTAAATTTGCAGTGTTTTCCATTTGTCTGTTACATACATTGTCACCGAATCGTGATACCCTTTCAATTTAATTTCAATGGGTCCAACAACAACAACAACAACAATAAATCGCATGAATGGCTGCTCTAAGTGGACGCGACGGATGCTTTGACACCTGCGTGTGTTGTGACAATGATCGCCTGCGTTGCACGCCCACAGTCGATAGTTGTTCACACACACACACACACATACACACACACGTCCCGCTCCTCCCCTCCCCACGTCTTCTCGACTGTCAACCTCCCTTTTGACCCCTTCCGCAGTTAGCCGCCCTCCTTGCGCTATTCAAACTCAATTAGTCGCAGAACCAGTGAGAAACACACACACGCGAACTCCAAGCTAGAGATGGACAACTGATCGACTCGTAAATCTCTTATTATTTATGGTGTATACTCTATATATATATATATATGATAAACCATAATAAAAGCAAAGGAAGCGGAAAAAATATTTATTTTACACAGCTGCAAGCTCGTCTTGACCACAAAATGCGACACAGAGCTTCCGAGAAACTAAAAGACGTGATTTTAACAAAATTCAGAATTTTAAATTCCAAAAGCTTTGAAAGCTTGTACAAGCTTCAAGCGTCTTTAATGCATTAAAAGCTTCCGCGTGAAAGCTTTGTTGTTTTATGAAGATTGCATTGAAAGCTTAAGCTTAGGACTTATTTGGGCGAGATTAAGCGAAAACTTAAGCTTTTAATTCAATTTTCATAACATAGCTGAGCTGTCAAGCGAAAATTCTGGTCAAGATTAATCCACAGCTTAGGCTAAAGCTTTCAATAAAACGCTTATAAAATACTCGAGCATTCACGCACTCGTTTGTCTAGCCAAGATTAATCAAAAGCTTAAGCTCAAGCTTTCAGTTCGCTTGATGTTCATGTTGTCTTTCCACATTTAGTCACTGATTTGTTTGGTCCATCTCTAATGCACACACATACACGGCGAGTGCGGTACGTAGCAATTTGGTAGCACAGCCGGTGGCTGTCGCAGTTGTCCGGTTTCGTAGGCTTATCTCGTTTGGTGTTCGTGCCAAGTGGATTTTTGTAAAACGCCTTATAAGCGCAGGCAAGTGCCCGTCAGTCTGGCGTGTTCCGATTGACTCAACCGGCCAGCGGATCAGCCACTGGAGCGGCCACAATCGTCATTATACCCTATAATCGGGCAAATTGTGTTACGTTTTCAATGGGGCATATAACTATCCCTGATCTAGATTAACATCCAATGATATATAGCTATAAGATGTATCTCTAAGGCAAGATCTGAACGCCATGTCATAAGTTAATGATCCGTTTTTTAAGGCCACAGGTCCTAACTATTGTTACACATATTGTTGGGCTTGTTTCTGGCATATTTTAAAAATGTTATAGACTAATAGAAACAAGAAACTTTTTAGATAGGTAAGATCTGGTGACATCTTGGACTGATAAAGCAGCAAAGTTTTTTCATTATTTTGCAGGCAACATTTTGGTTTCCTTCCATCGATAAACGAAATAAGACACAAGCTATTTCGATATTAAATCGCTTAGGCTTATCGATAACCGTTGTATATTAAATCGTTTATGCTTATCGATAACCTGTAGTTATTAAATCGTTTGTGCTTATCGATAACCATTATAAATGAAATCGTTTATGCTTATCGATAATTATCGATTATAGTTGATATATATATAATAGATATTAACGCATTTGTGCCTTTCGATAAGCAGGGTATCTGCAGGTCGAAAACAGCCCAATGTGACTCAATGTGACTTGTTTGTTGTTGTGCAATTTACGTTTGATTGTCGCTGGGTCGCCCGGTCATCGTCAGGTGGCAGCCGCTGGCTAACGATATGCTTATTTTCCCCCTCTCTGTGTGTGTGAATTTGTTTTTGTTTATTTTTTTGTACTGTGCTGATTTAAGCACTATTCTAATAATCAGGTTTTTGACTTGCCCGCAGTCTAGTCCCAGAGCGTGGCATAAATTGCTTGTCGCGTTTTGTTGTTGATCTTTTCTGTTTGTTGTTTCTTTTTGTGTCGTTACTCGAAGACAATGCGAATAATAAATCTCAACAGATTAACTATAGTAGAGCGGGTAATCAAGGGGAGGAGGGGAGGGGGGGGTGGGGGTTAGGTAGGTAGCTGCCGCTGAGTCGTTCATTTGCAACAATGTTGATCGAGTTTAACCCCTGTGTGAGTCGAGCGACTCGCTACGTACGCTTACGTAAGCCACAGTTGCATTACGTAATTGCATTACGTTTTGTCGTACAAGTATATCAAATGTCTTATATATCCTTCTTATGAACAGCATTTAGGTAAGTCCGTGTTTGCAGAAAACTTAAGGGTTTGCTTAGTCCTTTACGTTTGTACTACGTAGAATGGGTTGCTTACGTCATTACGTTACGTTTTGGGGTTTAAGTTTTTTTGAAGTGCGAGCAGACACGGGCATATAAAACTATTGTGCTGCGACAGAAACGTTTTATCGAAAGCCTGATTACTTGAGTTCGGGCCAAAAAAAAACGATAACAATCGAAATCTAAATAAATGGGTTGACGATTCCGAAAATTAATTGAAAATCGATTATCATATAAGGGAGAAGAGAATGAAATATAACTTATCGATAAGAAATTAATTTCGAATTCACGCCCTGTTTAAATGTTCGACTTAAAAAAACGGATTATAATAATGTAGAGGAAGGTTTTTCGAAAAACGCAGCGAAATCGATTATTAATCGATTTCAAATCAACTTACCTGACCAGTCATATGTAGAGTTTTTACCTGTCTCAAATATTATTCGTTATATTTTGTATTTGCACAGCTTTGGCATGTTCCACGACACGGCCAAGATAGGCTGCCATCCGCGAGTGGGCTCCATTGTGCACATCATGACGCCCACGTTTGGAGCGGATACGCTGCAGGTTTGCTGGTCAAACTGCAGCCGGAAATACATAACCCACTTCCTGGAGTAAGTAGCTGGCTAGAACTGGCCACGATATGGTGATTATAATTTCGATTGATTGCTGCAGCCAGGGACTGGGCGAATGCCTGAACGATTCGCCGACTCCGCCGGACGAGTACAACTATCCGGAGGTGCTGCCGGGCGAGCGGTACAATGCCAAGCGTCAGTGCCGCATGCAGTTCAATCTGACCACGGACAGCGATGTGGGCGCCTGCTCCGCGCCGCACGAGTTCTGCTCGACGCTGTGGTGTCGCGTGAACGGCGAGTGCGTGACCAATATGCGCCCGACGGCCCCGGGCACCGCCTGCGGCAAGAACAAATGGTGCCAGAATGGCAAATGCGTGCGCATGGAGGAGCTGACGCCCATACACGGCGGCTGGGGCAATTGGAGCGATTGGAGCGAATGCTCGCGCAGCTGCGGCGGCGGCGTTTCCATACAGCAGCGCGAATGCGACTCACCGGTGCCGGCCAATGGCGGCGTCTTCTGCATCGGGGAGCGCAAGCGCTACAAGATCTGCCGCAAGAAGCCCTGTCCGGAGCACGAGCCCAGCTTCCGGGCGCAGCAGTGTGCACGCTATGACAATGTCAGCTACCAGGGTGCCACCTACAAGTGGCTGCCCTTCTTCGACAAGAGTAAGTCCGCAGTTATTCTGGAAAATAAAAACGATATAGATGACAAATAATATATGCATCATTTCACCTACGAGCGTGGAAACTGGGTGGAATATATATGAATGCATTAATTCATGAATGAATATAGCTTTAGTTCCATTGAGCGAAATTGAAATTTATTTCCGACCGAGCAACTTATCAAAATCAATTTCCTTACATATTATTTTATGCGTATTTCAAATTCACCTTTACGGGCGGAAAAATGTTTTAGTAATTCGATTTGAATTTCAAATAATTTTAGTCGCTTTCAAAGCTCGCTTTATACGTATTTCATCTGCTTTTTCAAAATTCACTTACCTGAGCAAAAGTTCAATTCTCATTTTGATTCCAAGCCACGGCTAAATTCCTGCATAGCAATATCTGATAACTATAGAAAATCCACTGCCACAAGCGGAAAATGAGTGAAAAATAAAGATTATTTCAATTTATATGCTTATACTCTTAGACAATCCGTGTCGCCTGTTCTGCAGCGATGTGGACGACACGATAATCGCCAACTGGGGTGAAACGGTGCTCGACGGTACGCCCTGCACGCTGGGCACGAACAACATGTGCATCGATGGCATCTGCAAGGTAAGTTCGGGCAAACCGACTAAAGGCCAGCTGCTCGGCGAGATCAATTAAACGAGCGTTTCATTCAGAAAGTTGGTTGCGATTGGATCGTTGACTCGGACATGCAGGACGATCGTTGCGGTGTCTGCGGCGGTGCTGGTGATCAATGCAAGCCCATAAAGGAGATCTACAGTGAGCCCTTCAATGTGAGCGATGGCGTCTATGTACAGATCGTTAACATACCGGCACGGGCGCGTCGCATACTGATCAAGGAGCTGGCCAATTCGCCGCACTTTCTTGCCATCGGACGGGCGCAGGGCGAGAAGTTCTATTTGAATGGCGACAGTCTGATCTCCATGCCCGGCGAACTGGAGATCGCCGGCGCCGAGAGCCTCTACGATCGGCTGGACGAGCGGGAGACCATCAAAATACCTCAGCCCATACAGCATGCCATCGCGCTCTACGTAAGTACCAGGAGCCGATCTCCTCCCTCTCTGTCAGTATATTATTGCGATCATCTGCAGGCGATCGTGCGCAGCAATGAGAGCAACACGGGCATCTACTATGAGTTCACGCTGCCCGCCTTCAATGTGACCAACGGACGGCAGCATCAGTGGCGATTGAGCAACTGGACCGCCTGCTCCGCCAGCTGCGGCGGCGGTGTGCAGCATCGCGAGCCCATCTGTCAGGAGAATGGCAAGCGTGAGTCCATTTTAAATGATCCTCTAGACATATAACCAATACATGTGCTCCGTCCATTACTGGCAGTGCTCGGCGACACGCTGCCCTGCTGGACGCACGCCAAGAACCGGCGACCCCTGAGGCAGACACGCGCCTGCGGCGAGCAGCAGTGCCCGGCGCACTGGTGGCCGGGTCCCTGGCAGTTCTGTCCGCTCACCTGCCGGCAGCCGGGCGCACCTATGCCGCAGCGACGGCGCTCCATTGTCTGTCTCGATCAGCATGATGTTGTTGTCGCGGATGTCCAGTGCGGATTGCTGACCAGGCCGCCCGAAACCGAGCCCTGCGAGTCAACGCTGCCCGAGTGCCGGCTCAAGCAGTGAGCGAGCTTTAGGAACCGGAGCCGGAACTGGAACTGGAGCCGGAACTGGAACTGGAACCGGTGGCGGCAACTATTTATTGCTAATAATTAAATAGAAAGCTAATTTAAGTGAGCTGCTTTTGAAACCCAGACAGTTTTACATATTTATTTAACAAGTTCGAATTATACGTGTAGTTATTGATAAGTCATGTTATCGATTAATAATTATCGATTCATAATTTGCGTGTGCCCTGCAGGTGGCGCCATCTGGCGCATATGCTGCGCAAGATATCGATCTAAGGCAATTAGAGATGTGCAAATAGAAATATATTTTCGATAAATCGATTTCGCTTCTTCAAAGGGAACCAGTAACAGAGAAATATAAATAAAAATTGTCCACTTTTCGTGTATAAATGTTGTGATTTATGGAAAATATCGAATTATATGTAAGGCCTCCAAAAGGCTTCCTTTGAGTATCGACTTCTTAAGGAAGAATTTTAAGTATCCATTTTTTGAGGAACCTGCCCTCTAATTGCACTTTAATTTGACTTTCGAATTTTCCATAATACATTTTTCAAATCAAATATTTAAGTTTTAATACATTTTCAAATCTGAGCTAACTTTGGGAAGCGCATATCATGTTTAAAACGACGATAAACTTTGTTTATATTTAGTTCAAATAACTAATGCATGCAGGGCATAACATAATGTACTTAATACAAAACGAAAAAAAGGAAAAAAAAGGATTCTAGAAACTAGGCCCAGAGCTTAGGCAACATTTGTTTATATGATGTATGTAGTATTATCTATATATATATATTGTATATTGAGATAAGAACAGAAAAAAAAAAAATAAAAATACAATAATAATACACAATTAAAATAACAAGAGATGAGTGTAAGCTGGAGCTGTGGACGCTTAGAAGCGCGTATTGTCGGGCATCTTGCGGAAATAGGCAATCTTGTCCTTGGGCACACGATAGCCGTGCATCCAGCGGCTGCCCTTGCGCAGAGAGCCATCGATGCCGTCCTTCCAGACGCCCTGCGGCAAATAAACTGAAAACCGAAGTGCGAAAGGAATCAATTTGGAATATAATTGTGGGTTGTCGGGAAGCTGGAGCTTACCCTCACGCTCCTCGAGACCGGCATCCAAGATGGGCGCCACGATTAGCTCCTCGCCGACGGAGAACTCATCGCTGACAATGAGACAGGCAGGATCATGGGGATCGAGCATCCAGAGCGGACGCACCAGCGGCAGGCCCTCGTTCATCGAGGGGCTGAGATATTTCTTGAGCAGCGCTATGACCACCGTCTGGCGCACCTCCTTCAGCTCCTGGGCGACGCGTGTGACCAGCTCGCTGTGGTACTCATCCGGCAGATGGCTGAACTGCATCGCTGGCAGGAATGTGGCCAACTGCAGCCAGCGTATGAAGAGCTCGGCATCCGGCAGCGGCGGCTGTGCCAGCGAATAGAACGAGACCATTTTGGTGAGCGGACGCTGCAGCAAATAGTCGCCGCCAATGGCGCCGGCCAGCACAAATGGATAGCCGATGACGCCATAATTGAGCACTGCGGCCAGCGTATCCCGCAGACCCTCCCACGTGGCATTCGCCGGCGGCGTGCTCAGGAATGTTGGCGGCTTTGGCACCACACTGGCCGTGGAGACGGCCATGAGTCCGGCGCTCTCCAGGCTGCTGGTCAGCATGCGTGCATACATGTCCGGATTGTCGAGCGGCTGGCGGCATTGATAGTAATGCGGCAGATTGTAGCCGGTGCCCAAGTCCAAATAGAAACTCTTTACGCCATACTCATCCTTGAGCCGCTGCAGCTTCTCCAGCAGCCAGGGCACCGAGGCATTGTTCGTAATGTCCAGAACGCCGGCGCTGGAGCTGCTCTTGTAGCGCGTCAGGGCCGGTATGCTGCGCTCCGAGTAGCGCTCATAGATGAGCAGCTTGCGGGCGACCGCATCCTTAAAGTTCGGACTGTCCGTGCTGATGAACGGCTGGATGGTGAAGACGACCTTAAAGCCGCGCCGATGCAGCACATCGATGGTGTCCTTGAGCGTGGGAAAGCGGACGCGATCCACAGTGAAATCGCCAATATTCTCCTGCCAGAACTCATTGATGACAATGTGACCCAGGCCCATGGCAATGGCATTCTCCGAATAGTCACAGATAATTGATTCGTTCAGATTGTCGCGCTGCGCCTGATTCGGTATACGCCAGACGGGCTCCTCCAGCAGCGAATGCAGCTCCGCAATATCCTGCTCGGTCAGGCCATCCCAGAGGCTCTGCTGTGTCATCAGCATATGCAGGCTGCGCATATCCTCCGTCGTGCAGATCTTGTAGTCCAGCTGGGGCAGCGGCGTCAGCCGATTGACAAAGGTGAAATCATCGTTGGCCGCCCGCAGGCAGAACTGGTTCTCGGTGCGATTGATGCCCAGCTGGAGAGGCGTGCGTTCGCTCACCTGCATCGCCACGCCTATGGAGTTGATGAAGTAGCGCTTGACCGCGTTGCCGAACTGATGTACCTTGTGATCGCCGCTGGCGTAGGGCATAAAGTCAAAGTTCGCATAGCTGAGGGACCACTCCTGGCCCTTGGTGATGCCGCCGCCAAACCACAAGCCATTGTCCCGCTTCAGCTCGTAGCAATCGGTGGGCAACAGGCCCGGCCTCAAAGCCTGCCATTGCAGCGTATAACAGCGAAAGACCTGCTTGTCCTCGAAGTTCAGGTGGAGCCGGGCAATGCCGTTCCACTCGATGCAGACGCTGCCGTCGCTGCGCCGATGATTCTCCAGGCAGTGGAACGGCGCCGTGTCGCTGTCCAGTGTGACGCCCAGGTGGCCGGATATCACCTCCTTGTCCTCGTGGCTCAGTATGCGAAAGATGCGATCCTTCGAATTGAACTTGATCTTCTGGAAATAGCTTCGGGTCAGCACCTGGTGATGGTACGCAATGTACGCATAGCCAATCTGTACGGACGACATTCGTGAGCCTGAAGATCGTTTCGATTAAACCATTTAATCCACTTACCAGAAAGATAATGATGAAGAACATTATGATCACAAAGATCTTGATCTTGTAGTCCTTTGTCTCGCGCTTCTTTTTCCGTATCAGCTGTGGAAAGGCCTGTCAGCAAATGATCATTAAACTAAACGAGCTGCATTCCACTTGTCATTCGAAATGTTGCTCAACATTTACTTTCATTAATAATTTCTGATAAATGTTGGCACATTCCGAATGCAGAGAATGAAACGCAGCTATTTATGCACATTATTCTCTTTTTAACTTAACTTCATTTTACTTTTTCTCTTTTTACATCTACGTCTTCCTCTTAGTCTATCTATCTTCATTCTACTTTATCATTTAAACTTTTCTTTTATCTTTTTTCAATTTCTCTTTTCGTTTCTTTCCTTTTAAGAGTATTCCTTTCTTCTGTTCTTTAAATCTTCTACTTTCCGCAGCTTTTCTGAACTCTTCGCTTGCTTTCTCTCTCTTCACTCCCTTTCCTCTCTCTGTCTCTCTCATCTCATCACATCTCTTCTCTCTCTCATCTCATCTCTTCTATCTTTCATCTCTTCTCTCTCTCATTTCTTATCTCTCTCTCATTTCTTCTCTCTCTCTCATTTCTTCTCTCTCTCTCATTTAATCTAATCTCATCTCATCCCTCTCTCATGTAATCTAAACCTATCTCATCTCTCTCTCTTCCCCCCTCTCTCTCTCTTTCTCTCACCTGCATCTTCTCGCGCAGCAAACTGGCCAACGAGTTGACGCTTGTGATCGAGGCCTGGTTGCTGGCCAAGCTGTGGGTGTCAAAATCGCTGGCCAACATCTCCTTGCTGTTCAGTCGGAGGGCGGGCAGCGGTGCAATCGAGGCGCGTCTGCGGCTGCGGAAGCGATCCCTGTCGAGAGTTAAAAACAAAGTTAACAAAGTTAGAGTCATATTTTACGATAGAGTCATATATATCGATAAAGACATATTTATCGATAAAGCCTTATTTATCGATAAAGTCTTATTTATCGATAAAGTCATATTTATCGATCACTGAGTGAGTGATCAATGTTTATGATCGCAATAACTGTTGTGTGCTCAACCGATCTTCAGCTGTCCAAGTCTGTACATGATATCTGGTCGTAAATTACGCAGATACAGATACAGGTACAGATACAGATACGGATACGAAAAGACAACAAGCTGGGATACGCTTCAACTAATATTTATGACAATTTTGACAAGCGTTTGTCTGCGTATCTGAGATGTCTTTATTTAGTGCACAGTAAATAAATCGATATATTGGCATTAGAAATATTGCTGTCGAAAACGAGTTAGTTTCGAGCATTGGGTGGAACAACTTTGGCTGTTAACTAATATTTATAAATACGTTTATTTGCGTTCTTATATATTAATTTATTTATTTATTGGGGGCATAAACAACTTGTTTGCCTCTGTTCAATTTAGTTTTTATATTTATTCATCCACATTCTACAAGTGCGTCTCAATTTACAAGCTATATATATATCTGAGATTCTGGCTCTCTTATACCATGGTTCTAATAAACTATGAGCTAGGCTGCTCGACTAGAAGATACCCTAAGGTATGCCTGACTAACTAAGAACTTTGTAGATGGATATTCATAAAATTGATGGGATGCAAAAGTGTGTGCATACCAAAGCGCAAGGCTCTGCCTTTAAAAGTGGTTTCCCTTTTCCAGTATTTTGGGGATCTTGGAAAAGGTATCCAAAAAGTAAAATGTCCTCAGTCTAAATATGCTTCACAAGAGCGTACAAACCAATATTCTTGTATCTAACTCATATAGTTTTCGAGTTATGCCTAAAGAAACCAAACCGATCAATCGATTCGATATTTATCGATATTGTGAACATAAGAGAAGTTATCGAAAGAAAAAACTTTAAGTTTTCGAGATCTTCGCGCTTCAGCTTGTCGCTCTAATGAAACACATCCTTTTTTTTGTCAATCGGTTCAGCGTATAAAAAGAACTTTGTATACCAGGAATTGGCTGCGACGCCTTGCGATTAAGAATATGATTAGCGATGGTTGGGAATATATTATTATCGCTTATCTGGCACGCGTACAAAAAAAGCCCGAAGGCCAATCGCATGTTACACTTCATTCAGCAAAGAGCTCGTACCAAGTTATATGGGACGGGTGTACGAGAGTTGGAAGACTTGGGACAATTGTCTGACCCATTTTTGCGGCCTATCTAGAGCCGAGACAGTGCCAGACGTGAATTGGGAGCGACCCCTGATATTAAATATGACTCGTACTATTCAAGTATGTAAGTATATATTAATATGCTATATATAAAATACATATATTTATTTATACAATTATATATAGGCGCCGCTTTCGGTGCGATAAGGCCGCCTCTGGGGGCCATAAATAAACTTTGTTTCAGCACAAAATTAGCACGAATTACAGCTCAAAAATGTAGATACGCAGATACATGGCGCCTATGTGCATAAATATGTATTTTATGTGTAATATTTTACCTGTATCTATAACTAAAATGACAATGTGCCTGGCTATGTTGCGGCGAGCTATGCGCTTTCGTCTTATCACCTCTAATCACAATTATCTACTGAGCTGCTGAGACTTCAAGATACAGATACAGATACAGATACAGATACAGATACAGATACAGATACAGATACAGATACAGATACAGATACAGATACAGATACAGATACAGAGACAATTATAGTAACAGCCACAGCTTGAGCAGCAGATACAACAGATGCGACAGATATATACATATGCACATACATATATACACAATGAGTTGATATAATAATAGTACATATATACACTCTGTCGCTTTTCACGAACAACAATAACAACAACATGATTTCTGCTGCCTTTCCATCTGCCTTTTGATTTACTTATCAACAGCGAGCGGGATTTTGCCCTCACCCCCCGCCCACGAATCGTCGCCGTCGCCGTCGACTCTGCAATTACATTAATTCGCTTAAACTGCAAAATTACTCTCTCACACACACCCACACACACACGCACACGTACACGCACACCTACGCGTTTCTCCTAAAAAGCTTGAGCTCTGTCGCCGCCCTCCGCGCAGGGGTTGAAAGCGCAAGCGCAGCGTTTGCTCTGTTAACGGCGCTGTGTGTTAACAGAGCTGTTAACTGATTTCACTTAACAGACAATGTTAAATGATTTCATGCTCTGCTACACGAATATATTGGCTCATTTTGTCGCCAGTTTTGAAGCTAGAGACTTGAAATTTAAAATGTACGCTAAGTGTATATTTGTGGCAAGGCGTTGCAATTTTGATGGCCAGCCTTCTAGGCTTCAGCACAGCAAAAAGTGCTAAAAGAAATTAAAAGCTTTTAATATGTGTATACGAAACTGAGAGCCTCATCAATTTAGCTTACAATGGGTCGAAATGCAACGCCAAAATGGCGGCCGATCGTTGTGATCGATAAACATGAAATGAATTTATCGATCGGCGATTGTGTATGGAATGCGCCGCTGAGTATGTGTGATTCCCAGCTAAACATATTTAAATTATTATTATTCCTTTTCTTAAGATTATCATCAACATTATCATTACTTGTTATTATTATTATTATTATTATTAACATTATGTTAATTATGTTAACAAAGTGAAGAAAGTTTTACAGAGTTTTAGAAAGGGTACACAGATTTAACAACAAATTTGAAATAAACAAACAGTCTTAACAGTCTTCTGACACTTTTAAGCCAACTAAATCTCTTGTTGCACATTGCGATTTTCGACTAGAGTACAGGGTATCCAATCATTAAGCACTTAGAGGCTGTGTTGTCACCTGTTTCACATTTAATTGCCGCTTTTCTCAGCCATAAATAACTGGCTCGACGCATTAATTTAGCTATACAAAAAAAATATATATACCAAAGTTAATTGCACGTTTATAAGCAGCAATTTTCGATAATTGACTAAACAAAATTGAAGGCGAACGAACCAAAGTTGGTTCCTAACTGTAACTGAAAATGCGTGCAATTTAATTTTAGCCGTAAAGCGATCGACTTACGTTGAAATGTGGAAACGCTTCAAAGCTGGAATGTTGGGAATGACACGTTCCCAATTACCTATTCCCCGTTTCCCGGTTCCCGTTCCCCGCTTCCCTTGCCCACAGTTGAATGTGAATGGCAAATGGCGTGCTGTTAATATTGTTATACAAAAAAAAAAAGAAGCCAAATCCAAATTAATTAACTTAATTGCAGCCTGAACTTTGGCATGAGACAAGCAATGAGCACGTGATGCCATATTCAGCAAATCGGTGCTGCCAGATAGTTACACTTGGAAATGGGGAACACTTGAGTTACAGGGTATGCCATGTGTGCAAGTTGATTACCGAGCATTATTAACTTTTCGATACCCTGCGCGAATTCGCAGGCTATCTTAATCTGTCTACTATATGCACAAGCCAGATTCTATTTACGCTTAACTCAATTGATGAAGGTTAAGATACCCTGTACTACTTGAATATTGATATAGTTTGGTTGAACTCCGTGCATTACTCTGGAGAAGGCCGACGAAAAGCTATTATACGATTTCGTAGAGACAAATATTTCTTCAGCTTCTATAGAGAGAGTTCAACTTTTTAATACCCTGTACAAATTGTATAAGGTGTATTCCATTATGTGCCTGTGTTGTGCTTAAGCATTTATCTACAGTTAGAAGAGAGCTTGCACTTATTTTGCACTTTGCGCGACTTGGCAATACCCTGTACAATTAGGCTCTGATGCACTCTCTTATGTGACTTATGTGACCTTTACAATCAGATGGATTGGATTGCTATATTAACGTACAAATCTTTTGCCATTTTCCAAAAACGTTCAGTTTTCAAATACCCTGTACTCTTTTGCCACATCAAATATACTCGGCAATTGGCTTCAAATTTAATCTATTGCATATTTACAGCAATATGTAACGCGCGTGCCGAGCATATTTAACACAATAATAACCTCAAGAAGGCCTTGATATGCGGTATTGCTTTAGATATATACCCTGTAAGTTACAAAACAGTTTTCGGTATTCACATTGTGAGTGGGAAACCCAGCTCATGCCAATAAACTGAGATAATTTACAGTTACAGGGTATCTGGCAGTACAGCATGTGGCAACAACTGCGTTAATGCGTTCATAACAATGGCCAATTAGCACTAGCTTGTGAACTGTTATTGAAAAAACATAAAGCAGGTGACAAAAATGATCAGAGATCGCAGTTAAATAATATGGAAATATTTATGGAAATATATGCAGGGAAATATTTATGGAAAATAGTTGTTGGGAATGATATTGGAAAGGCGGCTCACCTATGGACGGGTTTCTTGGCATTCCCAAACTCATCGCTGCTGTCATCGTCCTCCTGCTTGGCATTGTCATTCGCTTTGGGAATCACCATAATCGTTGTGGGCGTGCCCATGCTGGAGGCTGAGGCATCGTCGACCATCTGTAAATAAGTCACAAAGTTCGATTCAAGCGAAGATATATATAGTTTTCTTTTCTTTTGTTTTTATATATTTTGAAGATGTTTCGTGTGCTTTGTTTTCGTTTTGTTCTCGGCAGCGCAACGCGGCGTATGCGCAATCATCTGTAATGCATATTTATAAGATGCGCTCAGTGTGCCCGTTTCCTGACTGAAAACTGGTTTCGACCAGCCGTAAACCCCAATGGTTCAGTTCAGTTCGGCTCTGACTGGCATCGGGCCGTATTAAGTACCTGCCTTGACCGCAGTTAGCCGCTGCGTCTCGTCCTGGTCCGCATCCTGCAGCGCGCAGCGGCTGCTCCGGCTGGGCGAGCTCATCGCCAGGAGGGAGAGCAACAATTCCTGATCCCGACCAGTGCGATGCCCAACAGAGATCTGCGAGTCCGCAGCTCAAACCGTCGTCTGCTGCCTTTGCCGGCCGCTTGATAATTGCTCGCATATTAGAAATGACGAGGGCTTTGCTTCCCATCTGCTATCTGTGGCGTGTGTGCGTGTCTGCGTGTGTGTGTGTGTGTGTATGTGTCTGCGTGTGTGTATTGGTATGCGCTTGTTTAATCGCTCGACGTCGCGCTTCATGGCGACTGCGAGCACTCGTTCCTGAGTGATTAATTACGAAGCTTCGGCTTCGCATTTCTCACAATTTCATTGAGACTTTTGCCACGCCGCTCGCGCTACGAGGGCAGTTCCATGAATTCCTCAAATACAAATTTTCAGATGTAGTTAAGCGAGATTTATGGCAAAATTTAATTCAATTGCAGTAGTTTTTGTATCCCAATCACGTTGAAAGTGGCAACGGTTCTCGATTCTCTTTCATTCCCATATATCTTAACTGTTAGGCTCGGGCTCGAGCCCTGATAGCTTGGATTACGACATTTTCTTTATGGAACAATAACTTCTTATGGCTAGCTAACATGTACATTGTATATTAAGAAATAACCAAATTTTCAACATACATACATACATACATACATACATGCATACATACATACATGCATACATACATGCATACATACATGCAAACATACATTCATACATACATACATACATACATACATACATACATGCATGCATACATACATACATACATACATACATACATACATACATACATGCATGAATGCATACATACACACATACATACATACATACATACATACATACATACATACATACATACATACATACATACATACATACATACATACATACAACATACATACATACATATAAGTACTTACATAAAAACAAAGAAGGAAGTTTATAAATTGGCCAACACACTTTTTTTTACACAACACTTATAATCAAAGCATGAAAATATGCAGGACCTACTTGAATTCTTGAGAATCGCGTAGTAAGGCTATTTACGTTTGAAGTAGTTTTCAGCGGAATGCCTAAATTTCTCAAAAGAGTAACGTGCATGCACACTTAGACACATACATACATGCATATATTCATACATACGTGCACACATACATACATGCATACACAATACATACATACATACATACATACGTTCATACATGCATGCAAGATTATCAAAGTTTGTCATTAGAGCCAAGGAATATTTGACTTTTTGGCTAACTCAACAGCTTAGCATTGTGCTTAGGGAATTTACAAGTCGTGCGCTTCTGACTAAAGCACACTTAACTAGGTTTTTCTAAATTATCTTATATTGTGTTAAAAATGTTATAAATGTTGTCCTATGTCACTGAGAAAATATATTTCACCGATTTGATCTATACAGACATAACAACAGAGCCAGCAACAAGATAGGCCTATTAGTATACCTAATATCGGCATCAGACTTTTTGAATAGGCTAAGCAAAAATGAGCTCTAGCTTTAAATAAAACCTTAAATAAATCATTTACGGCACATACTAGTTACACATATCTACCATCTACTATTTTAGCTGACGCCCTACAGAATCGATTACTTTATTTCGGAGTTTACTTTGTGAGGCATTCGTAAACGTTTTTCTGACTTTGAATAGACTTTGCTAGACTTTAAATCGTTAGGGCCTTCAAGGCTGCCTAAGACAAACATGAGCACAACTATTAAGGGTCTTTTAGATTCGATTATTGTGTATATTTCCATATATATTTATATATATTAATACTTCTTTGACCACCCTCGCAGCTCTGATACAATGGCGACTCAATTTTGGTTTTGATATGTGCCGAGAAATTGCCGTGACAGACTCGTAAATTAGTCAAGGCGGCATGCTCCATAATTATGGCCGACTAGATTTAGCATTTAATCTTAACTACTTCCCATAAATAACAGTCTATCGGCTTTGGGTCCTCCCTTGTTTGCCCGGCTGTGCCATAATCATAAATCATATTGGCCCACGACTTGAAGACAATACGAAACTCTTTACTGAGCCCCAGAGTAGAGTCCTCAGGGAGCATTATGTTAAGCATATTATAGCAAATATTATATATCATACTAGTGGGGAAATTGGATAATTTTGTTATATTTAGTTATGGAGTTGGGAAATTTTGACCGATGTCTATAGAAAATAATGGCAGGCATCGAATTGCAGCCGATTTCTTAGGCTAGTTTATAGGCATATTTAATTTATAGCATACTTCAAGATTATATCGGTTTCGAGCCGATAAAAGCTATCGATTTTCATTTGGAACTCACATCACTATCATCTTAGTAGACTCTAAATCCAAAGGTCTGATTGTGCAGCTGCTTTTCTACTCAGTCTGCTTTGACGCCTCGTCCGGAGCAGACTAGCTTTTTTTTTGGTCTTTTTATTTTGCGCTTATATTTTTATTTCTTTTTTTTCGTATTGGAGAGTATATTTTTTTTCTTTACCAACACTGGGTTAACCAAATCGTGGCTTATTCATATAATCAGTTATTGAAAATTGTAATCTTAAGGGGCTCTAATGCCTTTGAAAGGCTTAAAATACAACAACATCCTATCGTAGCTATTGGCTTTGAAGTCTTCGAAGAGCTGGTCAGCATTTTTTTGTCCTTCTTCAATGAATTTTAACTGCTGTGCAGTTTGCTGAACAACTATATGAAGACTATATGATATAATTTTTTTTTTTTGCTTTACTCGATAATAATTTAGACTCTTTTGTTAATTACAATATTTCTTGAAAAGTTCTCTGCATTTTTCTTTTTAATTAAGCGTTTCGCAACATTTCTTTTGCAGCACTGGTCAATCAGATCGCGACTAGCTCAAGTTAAGGGTTTGTAAATTGAGTTCCAAAAAGCTTCGATAGGCATAAATTTCGGTGGCTTCCATGCACAGTTGAGTGGCAGGCTGCATTAACGTCTTGACTAAAGCAGTTAAATCTTTTATTTATTTTAATTATTTCTTCAAAACTGCTCTGCAAATAGCTGAGCCCAGTTACTCGGCAGCAGCAGTATGTTTCTTTTTAAAAATATATTTGAACTGCAATAATTCTTTCAAAAGAAAAGAATACATAAATCTCTTTTATTCTGTTGTATAATATTTACTTTCCCCTTGCCTTTTTCAACACTGTGTTTACCAAATAGTGTTGTGCTTAGGTTAAGGGTTTTTTAAGGCTTTTTTAGACTCTTTTTCGAAATATTTTCTTTAAAGGTTTGAAATCTAAATTTTTTGATCATCCTAAACTTTTTTTTAAGGTCTAAAAATTCAAATGGTGGCTTCCATGCGTAGTCGATATTTTCATTTCCCCTTTTCTTTTCCAACACTGTGTTGACTAAATGCGAATGCTCGAAGGATATGTAATTATTTTTTTTTTTTTATATTTATCATATTACAATATTTCTTCAGAATTTGTGAAAGCTCGAAAGGAAAACAATTTATGTAATTACAAAATTATGAAGAAATATTTGCAGTATTTCAATATTTCTCATATCCCTTTTCAACACTGTTTTGAGAATGTGCGAAAGCTTTTTAATTGTAAAATATGTTCTTGCAAGATATTATACAAATATTTCTCAAATATTTCTTATATTATAATAATTATTATATGTATTATATTATATTTGCCATATGCAATAATTCTCTCAAAATACTTTATAAAAAAGTGCACAGACTCGAAAGAGAATATATTTGTAAGACATTCAAATATGTACGAAAACTCGCATAAGGTAAATATTGCAGTTGCTTTAGGCGCGAATCGCAATACAAAAAATATGGTGTTTACTTTAGGGCTGAACCAATATAAAATGGATCAGTTTAGGTGAAAAGAAGATAACATTTATTGCTAGCTAAAAAATGTAGCAGAAAGAGAAGCGAAGGGAAAAGCAAAAGCAAAAGAATGAATTTGAAGCGAATAAAGTTCGATATATAGACGATAAAAAATGGAATTACTTCCCCAGTTCCCCCAGTACAGTTCCCCAAAATATATAGGCCCCCAGCTCAGTACATAAGGATATATCCCTTGATTTGCCACACCCTCTTTAGTGGGCGCAGGCAACATTATTTCGGTAGAAGTTTGATCTATAGTCTATGTAGATCCAAATTTTGATCATTCGCAGCTCTCTTCAACTGTGGCAGATATTTATATCTACAAGAGGCAATACAAGCTCAGAATCTTGAACCAACGAGTATAATAAATGTTGAAATTTATTGTAATCTCGAAATGATAAAGGCAGTCATTTTTCTTTTATGGATACAATGCGCAGTTTCGGCCTGGTTTATGTTCTGTTTGCCGTGTTGCACAGTGTTATTAGCGTAATGCAATATGCCAGCCAGTGTGTACATATACCCTGCTGCAGACTTGTAAAGCGGGTATGCGCGACTTCTTCGGTTTTCATATGTGACAAGTGATAAGCAGAAAATCGAGCAAACTCTTCTTAATACATTTGCTATAGACAAACGAGGTGCCAAAGGGGGGGACGAGGGGCCAAAGGCAAGAAGCACGACAAAAGTGAGGAGTACAGACGCTGGCCACAGGGTATCTGCCAGTCGGGCAAGCCCAACCAGGGCACTACTATGCTCCTTGTTGTGATATTTTGCAGGCTTAAAGTTTAGTTAATATTAAATAAACTGGATTTCAGTCTCAATATGAAGCGCTGCCAATCACTGGGTATCTAGCTAGTCGTATACCAGACCAAATGTTCTAACCGCAGAATATTTGCAATTCACATTAATTACATTTCAAGTGTAAACATGAGAAATAAAATGGCAAAGAAAACAGATGAACCGCAATAATCATATTAGAATAGATCGATGATGGCGATAACAAATGATGACAATGACGATGACGATGATGATGATGATGATGATGAGTATGAGGAGAATGATAATGATGACGATGAGTATGAGGAGAATGATAATGATGATGAGGAGAATGATGACGACAATGATAATGATGATGAGGAGAATGATGACGACAATGATAATGATGATGAGGAGAATGATGAGGAAAATGATGACATATGACATAAGTTGTTTAGGGACTTTTTTGACGGGCAGACGAAAAAAGAAAAAAAAAACCAAAACTTTAACAGCAAACCGATCTAAGCGGAAACATTTGACAGCACTGTGTAGCAGTTGAGTGTTTTTTAGGTTTTTTAGTATATGTTAATAAGCGTGTGATTTGCAAGCATACTGCTGAGATAACAGTTCGCCTAATGAGCTTTTTATTGTTATTTATTTGGTTGTTTTTGTGAGTGCAAAACAAGTTTCGAGCCTCGAAAAATGAGTCTTAAGCTTTACACTCTGCAGCCGCTCTCCACCTCCCAACTCCCACCTTTCGCCCAGCCCTGCTCTGCCCCTACTCACACTCTCCGTTTGGCTCTCCTCGTGCAGCGCCTCCTGCGCCTGCATCTGATGCCGCAAACGCAACGCCTCCAAATCCAGCGAATTAATGCCCTGCGGCAGCGATATGGAATTGCGACGCAGTCCAGGTCCGAAGTGATCCCGCTCCCGCTCCCGCTCCCGCTCCGCTGGCGGCGTGGGCGTGCCAGAGTTTAGGGAACACATCTCCGGCTCAACGGGCCGCTCATTGAGCACCAGCAGATGCGGCAGCTCCACATTGCGACGCTGTCCCAGCGATTGTTTGCGCACGGGCAGCAGCTTTGCCTGCGCCTCCTCCTCCTCCTCCTCCGCCACCGCCTCGTCCTGCTCGTCTGCATAGGGCAGCGCCTGAGCCTGCCCGTTGAGCGCCTGCGCGGCACGCAGCGGCGTCTGTGACATGCTCCCTAACCAGGTTTACACGCGCGATATATACTTATATATATATATATATATGTGCACGTCGAACACGGGGCTTATGTACGTGTGCACGCGAACGCGTCCAGGTTGCGACTCGCGGCCAAATCGCATGCCAGTTTCCCTCCCCCGCTCCCTCTCCCCTGCCTTCCTCGCAAGCGTTGAGAGCGCGACGTTGAGCTCAGCAGCTGAGCAGAAGGGAGTTGTCTCTGGGCTGCAGGTGTGTGGGAGGGGGGAAGGTGTGCGGAGGGGCCATAAAGCCGCCGTCGATTGTGTCGCAGAGTGTTTGACTTTAATCAACGCTCGCTGCTGTGCTTATCATCATCATTATCATGAACATTATCATCCCGTTCACGATGGCGATTATCGGCATTGGCACTGATTACGCATACGACGCGTTGTACGCATCGCTTTTAACTGGGCCGACCCGTGTTTAATAATCTGTTTATTTGCCATGTTCATATTGATTCAGTTAATTAAATTCAGCTATTTTTTTTTTCTTATTTTTTGGTTTGTTTTTTGGCCACTCGAAAAATAAACATGTGCTGATCGCTTTTTCCTTTCAGAATTTGCACAGCTAATTAGTTGACAATATCTTTCGCTCTCTATTTCTCTCTCTCTCTCGTACTGTCCGAACGCTCTCCCCCTCTCTTTCTCTCGATTTGCGTCTCGGGTCTGGTCTGCTATCAGTGGCTATAAAGCGTTTAATCAACCTCCAGTTAATCGCAACAATTGATCAAATATTGGTAACAAGCGTGAAATGCTTATAGGTTTTCTTTTCTTTACACTCGATACCCTATAAAGGTTACATCTCGGCATACGATATATTTGCATATATTGCATTTCTATAAGGGAGGAAGAGAACGCAAGAGAGTTAATTGGAGTTAGAGTGTAAGCAGTGATTAAGTTTAGTAGATTTCCAACCTAATCAATGCATTAAAAGAGCCCGCTCTTACTTGAAGAAGAAGATCATTCATAAATTCGTATTTTAAGTCTGCGTTTGTAATATACATATGCATAAATGGACTCACGCATGCAAACATACATAGAAACATGCATGCATACATACATGCAGCCACACACACACACACACACATACATACTCACATATATACAAACATATATACATACATACATACATACACACATGCATACATACATACATACATACATATATACATACATACATTCATACATACACACACATACATATACTTACATAGAAACAGAGAAAGAATGTCCATAAATTGACCAGCACACATTTTTTTACACAACACTTAAAACCAAAGCATGTAAATCTGCAGGACCTACTTGAATTCTTGAGAATCGCATAGTAGGGCGTTTTACGTTTGAAGTAATTTTCAGCGCAGCGGGTAGAGTTTTCAAAGGAATAACATGCAGACATACATGTAGTCACACATGCAGACACACATGCATACGTACATATATACTTACGTACATACATACATATATACGTAAGTACATACATTTTGCAGCCGGGTTCGGCTCTTACTTTAAATACGTTAACTAGAGCCAACAAAACGGCAGCTGTTTCGAAGCTTTAACTGGTTGGGAATTACAAGCGTCAGGCAATGAGCAAAGCAAAGCAAGCAAAAGCTGGATTTTGTTTCGTATTTAAACATTCGATTTATGATTGATAACAAATCCAGTTAGAAGCCTGTTAGGTTCGAACTTGTACAATTTAGTTTAAATTTAAAGGGTATGCAAAATGCGACTAATTTCTCAAATAAACCACGAACATGTGTTGCCCATAGTCCCAGTCAACCAGCCGGCGATAAGTTGATAGAGCTCTATAGGCCAATCGAGGGCGCCAATAAAACCCATTCGCAATATTATGCCCATAAATTTTGAAGCAGCTCTTAAAACTGCCAACTGGAATGAATTGGATTAGAAATCGATACGCATACGAATTGAGGGCCCAGTACGTGGATATGCGTTAATTTGAGCACGAGCAAGTCGTGAGGCGACACGAATGTCAGGAGAGTAGACACGACACGCGCTCAGCCAAAGCCACAACTGTTGGTAAATTCTGATGCAATGCTTTCTCTTTCACTGGCTCACTCTCGCTCTCTCTCTCTCTCCACTCTCACTCTCACTCTCGCCCTCTCGCTCTCTCTCTTATTAATGGGGGTCAAGCACAAGTCGTGCGCGAAATTTCCAATTGCACGCAGCTGTCGGCGACTGTTTACGGCATTTAATTTGGCCCAGTTAATTGATTTATGCATGTGTTTACGTTAAAATCAAATGCCAAGCTATGCATACCCTGGAAATCTTTGCTTATTTCATTGCATGCGAACCAAACAGGCAGTGGAAAGTTTACGAATGCGAGAACATAAAAGAATACAGAAATAAACGTTTATGACGTGCTGTACTCGCAAACATTCTAGTCGAATGTTACGAATGGAAGAACATAAAGAATACAAAAATAATAGTAAGACTTATCAGATATATATATAAATATATATATATGGAAACTGCGTTCTTGAATAACTTGGGTGCTTATAGTTCATACTTAATGAAATTTTCAGGGATCGAAAATGATTTTCATTCATATACATATAACAAAGCACAAGAGATTCTTTTCAATTTTAAGGATCATAGAGGGAGGTATTCTGTAAATAAAATACTTTCGATCTATGTTTTCGATACGAAAATGAGTTTTTTTTTGAAAAGAAAACAAATATCAAGACTTTTTACCCGCTTTCAATGGATATTAAAATGCACGCAACCTTATCTTGACGGCGAAAACGTTTACGAATGAGCGACAAAGAGGAATGCAACAAAATGCGGCACAAGATAACCCAAAAATGAAACAGTTGAAACTCTGTTTTTTTTTTTTTAAAAGGGGAAAAAATGCAATTTTTATTTTCAATAAATTGGTATTTTTTTCATTTTTCTTATTTTGTTTTTAGTTGGTTTCTCTTTTGCGCTTCTTTATTAACGTTTTTTTGATTTCTTTCGTTTGCCCTTCGTTTTTTGTTGCCTTGTTACTGCCTGCACAGTAGTTACTCGCTATATGAAGCGCACGTTTTGTTTGCGTTTTTAAATATTTATATTTTCGATTTTTTTGATTTTTGTTTTTCTTTTATGATAAAGTTGTTAATTGTTGAATTAGGCGCATATTTGTTGTAAATGTATTTTTTTTGTTTTTTTTTTTTTTAATTTATTTATTTATTTGCGTTATGTATATTTAATATGTAAGAAAACATTGATATTCAATTTGAAATTATTACGTTTTCAAGGAATGTTTCGGCTTTTAATTCTTCACGAATATTTGCTTGAGGTTTTGCGATTTGAATTTTGAAATAATTATGCTGCTGTTGCTTTTGTTGCTATTTAAATTGTACAAATACGAATACAAATGATTTGCTTATTAATTAAATATGTTAACATTTTCTCTATGTATTTTGTTCAATTGTTCAATTGTTGCGGCTCAACAAATTTGTTTCCTGCACAAAAATAAAAAAAAAAAATACTAATCTAAAGGAAATGGAAAAGGAAAACAAACAAAACAAATAGAAAGGCAACAAACATGTATATGTATATGTGTATATAGAATAGAATAGCAGAGCAGTTATACATAATTATATATAATTTATGGAGCAATATAATAAACATATACATATAGATATATATCATAATTATGGAATATACATAGTTAGTTGTACAAACTAAAAAAACCTAAAACGTTTGCTAAAGGTAAATGGCCAAAGAGCAATGCGTCTACAAGAGTGTTTACTGTATTTTTTTCATATTCTCCTTCAGTTTTTTTTTTGTTTTTATTAAATATATATTTGTTGTTTATCGATTTTATTTAAACATTCAGCCAGCGACGCTTTGTTCGTGTATCTCTGGGATACGCACATACGAATAAGTGACAAATTATTTTGAGACATTGTTCAGATATACACATACATATACATACATACATATATATACATATACTAATACACTAGCGTGCATTGTCCAGCTTGGCCAGGGTCAAATTGTTGAATATTCAGTTTCCATCCATTTCCACTACGGTGAAATTTCATATACAACAAATTTCCACATTTTTGGGTGAAATTTTCGAAAATCACGTCATGTCGTGAATTGGGATTTGCCATTCGACTGAATGCAAACTAATTTTCACAGACAATTGTGAAAATGCAACTTTTAGTACTTAGTTCAATGGGACTACAAGCTCATTTTCAAATATCTATATAAAATGTAACTTGAGACGTAGAGAACACTCTTATTTAAACATTTCACGAGCGGAAAATGGGTGAAAAGCCGAAATCTACAATTTGAAACCTGGACCGGGCAAAGCCGTCAAATGCCAGCTAGTAATATACATAGTTATATATAGATATGTGTATGAGACAATATAGCGCGTTATATTCAATTACATACATTGAATAAATATAATTATGACAAAGCAATTAGACAAAAAAAAAAAAGTAGAGATAGACATACATACATAATAATAATAATCATATTGGTAATATATAATCATAAGCATAATAATAATTGTGTAAATTGTAAATATCACAAGCAGACGTCACTTGCATCGTTGATAAATATATAGATATATATATACATATATATATATATGAGATATATGCGTATATATATTTTATATGTATTTCAATATATAATATATATATGTATATAGATATATATATATATACAAATATTTGTTTATATGTAAATATGTGTGTATAATTGTTTATGCCATGTGAGTGTGTGTGTGAGTGTATATGTGTGTGTGTGTGTGTGTGTGTGAGTACATATAAATATAGTTGTGTGTGTTTTTGTTGTACTGCTTTCTAAAGTGTTTGTTCTTGTTTTCCATGCAATTGAGTGTGTGTGTGTGTGTGTATGCCTGTGTGTGTGTGTGTGTGTGTGTGTGTGTGTGCCTCTGTGTATTACATTCATTGCTTAAATTAACCGTTTTTTGTTATATTTGCCGCTTGTTACAATAAAGCTTTATTTTGAACAACATTTTCTGTTAACTTTAATACACACACACACATACACACACACGCACCCGCACACATATGCTTTACATTTATCTCAATTTAACCAAAATTTGTTGGTTTTTTATTGTTGTTGTTGTTGTTGTATATGCATATTTAGTTTCAATAACTAGTTATAAACAGCTCTTAAGTGTAACTAACATTTTTTGCTACTAAAAAATTAAAATTGAGTACATAATTTCAACATGTTTCGTTTGTTTTGTTATTTTGTTTCTTGTTTTTACTACATACACAAATGATACTTCAGACAATTCGTACAGCTTTTATTATATATACTATATAGCATATACATATATATATATATATATATATATATATATATATATATATATATATATATATTTGCTTGTATTTTCTATATAAAGTTCTATTTTATATGCAATTTTTTTGTTGTTTTGTTTTGTTTTTTTTTTTCTGTATAATTAAAATTGACTTTTTACATTATTTAGCAGCTATTTAGTTTTTTACTGCGACTACTAAAAAAAAGTTAAATATATATATATAGGCATGTATATATGCACGTGTGTGTGTGTGTGTGTGTGTGTGTGTATGCATTTTATGTGTATAGAATTAGAATTTATTATTTCTATAAATAACTTTTGTATTTTCTTTCTATGCTGATTTTTTTTTTTTTTTTTTGTAAGTATTTTTTAATGAGAATCATTTATTGTATTCTTTTAGTTTTTCTTCTTCTAATATTTGCTTAATTGGTGCTTTGCATTGTGTGTGTTAATGGGTGTTGCGTGTGTGTGAGTGTGTGTTTTTGTATGTTTTCGAACACTTTTCTCTTCTCTTCTATAACACTAAACTGTCTATGTCTAGCCCTATGTGCTAAGGTGCTGTTAATAATCTTGAAACATTTTGTTGCCGCTGTTAACATTAGTTTTTAGCTTTTGTTTATTTGAATGTTGCTTGTTTAAACCCATTGCGTAATTTACAAATATCATAGTTACTCTATATATGCTTTACAATATACATAAGATATAGCACTTACAACATAAGATTCTATTTCTCATTTATAGAGCTCTGGACTGTGACTGTGACTGTGGCTATGTGTTGGCGGAGGCATTCTTGGTCCTGGTCTATTTGTCTCACTTTCTGCTTAAACTAAACACAAAACGGAAACGGAAACGGAAACAAGCACAGGCACACGACAATATGTATATATATATACACACACAACGATTTTTAGAGAATACACAAAAATTTCTATTGAATATATAAAAAACGTAACCTGCTAAATTTCAAGTCTCAGCGTGTGTGTATGTGTGCAGGTGTGGAGGTGTGTGTGTGTGTGACTAAGATTGCATTGAGCCGCTCGCTGTGATGTTGTTGAGATGATAACGCTGCAATATATATATATACGTGTATATATTATATATACTAATATGTGTGTGTATACAATCTTCCTTCCTTCCTTTCTTCCTTCCTAATCGCCGCTGTCCTCCCATTTGCGCTCCTCCATAATACGATCAAAGCAGTCCGCAAGAAATGCGTGCTACAAGTGCAATAATGTATAACAGTTAGATGATGTATAACAGTTAACGGTATATTAATAATAATTACATATGGCGTATAGACTTTGACCCAACGTGCCGGCTTATCTGGACGATTGTACTGAAAGCAAAATGACATGGACTCCTCATCGCTTTCGGAGCGCGTTATGCTATCCCATGTTAGCTCCACCATTTGCGCCTCCAGGGAGCCATCATCGCGGCAGGCGTGGAGGCGAAAGCTTTTCATTCCTGCGAAAAGCAATAAGCAAATAGATTAGTTTGCATTGTTTGAGTAATCCTTGCCACTCGTCGACAAATAGAAAACGGATATATTGGAGGTAGGAAAAATAAGCGAAGGGGATGGAGGATGAGAGAGTGAGATAGGGAATGTGAGACTTATAGGGAGAGAGAGACAGAGAGAGAGTAAGAGAGAAAATGTCCGCTTATAAAAAGACTAAAAAATCAGTATTTGTATATGTGGCCCTTACTTGAGTTCATGAGAATCGCAAAGAAAGGTGCTACTTTAAAACTATACTAAAATATACTTAATATATCACTACGAGTTGGGTATTATCTGATGAAATTCTTTGCTAATTGCTCAGCTGTGTGTTTTATTGGGTTGGATGTGCGACTCACCGACGGCGGGCACAACATGTCCCTCCTTGCGACTATCACAGGAGCAGTGCGGAAAGACGACATCACCGTAACCGGGCAGTGTGCGGGCCAGTGTTAAATAATCGTTGGCCTTTTTGGCATCCTGCAAGGCTTTCAGCTCATAGAGCCGGCCATCGGCGCGTATATTACCGCGATTCACCTCATCGACGGCCTGATAGAAGATGAAACGTGCCGCCTGCTCGCCAACGGGCAGCTTCAGCTCCTTGCCGATCGAGAAGAGCCAACGCCGCACACAGAGGCATGTCGACGAGGCGGTGCTATAGTTCTGCACATAGAGCTGATGCGGTATCTCGTGCGGCTGCAACTTGCGCTCGAAATTGTATTCGACAATCTCGAACAGATAGAAATATTGTTGCGTATAGGCTGTCAGATTGGCGCGCTGCACCAGTATCTCCCAGACGACCTGGGCAGTGGACGATTTCTTAACCGAAACGCTGGTCACCTCATGATCGGGCAGCATAACCTTTATGTCCACCGGCGATGCGGATATATCGTCCTCGGTATCGGTTAGAAAATCCTGCACAGCATCGCTTTCGGCAATCACGCGCACCGCGCACACCTTCTCCAGATACTGTTCGAGGCCGCGCCGGCGTGTGTCCAGCTGCTGTTCGCTCAGCTGGAATGGCCATTTGCCGGGCAGCTTCGGAAAGTTAAAGCCGCTGAACTCCTTGCGCAGCAGCGAATGCAAATTGGCGAACTCACGATACCGACGAGAGCACAGCTGCCGTCCGGCCATATGGATATTGAAGACAATATAGCGTTCACCATTCCGATTCACAATGCTGTAGTCGGGTATGCTGTCGAACAGATGGGAATTTAGTCTAGCGGAGGCTTTATCATGATTGTGATACTACTCACCTGATGGGCAAGGAGCGCTTGTCGGAGTAGTCTATGTAGGAGTAGCCGGTTTGATCCTCCTGCGGCTCCAGTCTGTCGGCCTCCTGCTGTGTCACAGATATCACCGTCAGGGTCAGGCAATCCCCACCAGATTTGATCAGATCCACCACCTGCTTGTGTGTGGCGCCCTCCACGCTGACGCCATTGCTGCAAGAAGCGACAAGTTATGAGAGGATGAGTATATGCGATATTATTGGATAATCCTGCTGCCCGTCGAGACGTACCGCCGGCAGCGACGCTCCATGGCGCTGAGCTGGGCGAAATGCACGCCATGGAAGGGCAGCATTTCGGAGGAATCTATATCACTCGATTGACAATCTTCAAATGAGCTGCTGCTTGCTGCTCGCCGATCCATTTAAGAGCCCAAGCGGAACGGAGACAGGGCGAGAAAGAGGGAGAGAGAGCGAGCGAGAGTCTGATCCGATTGAACGCTTGGAACACCTTGTGGCTGGCACTTGGCGCTGGCACTGATAACGCGCCGCAGTCCACAGACATACGATTCGGGTCAAGTTGAATTTGTTTACGATAAACTCGAGCATTTGCAATTGTTGAACTTTTCAATGGAGCGCATCTACTCGAAAATCAAATATTGCACTTGTACAACAAATGAGTCTAATCCTGGCAAATCCTTCAAAAATATCTCCAAATACTTTTTATATTATATAGATTAAGGGAACCAAATTTAGGTTACATTTAAAATCCACTTTAACAAGGGCAAAGAGTAAGATTAAGACAGAGACTCTCTCTGAGTGAGATAGAGAAAGAGGCAAAGAGAGAGAGAGAGAGAGAGAGAGAGAGAGAGAGAGAGAGAGAGAGAGAGAGAGAGAGAGAGAGAGACAGGGGGGTATGTGAAAGATATAGAAAAAGAAAGACAGAGTAAGAAAATGTCAGGATTCAAAATAAGCTAGAGAGAAAGAGGACAAAAGAGTGAGATAGAGAAAGTGGATAATCAAACTTACAGGCAGAGTAATTGAGAGAGTCTTATTGTGTAAGAAGGAAAAAAAGAAACGAGGTTAGCAAAAATAAATTTGTATAGAACTAAGAATCTGTAGGCCTTACTTGAACTCATGAGAATCGCAAAGAAAGGCGCTACTTTAAAAATAGTTTTCGTTTTTAGTTGGCAGCTGACCGAAGGGAACTACCAAAACATGAAATGAATACTGTTTAGTCTCAAAAATATATGCCAACTGGACAAACAATTGTACATATACCTAAAAAGTTAAGAGACGGCATATTTAACAGGAATCTTATTTCATTAATAAATCTATAGCACTCCCAAGCGTAGCTGCTCTTATTCGTTTCCTCAAACAGTTTGTACGCTGAACAAGGCCCGTCAGTTCTCATGAGTACTTAAGCACATTTGATTTTAAAAGTCACAGGGGCATTTATCATTTTTGGCATAAATATGTTTGTCTGATCTCACACTTACTTATGTGTGCAAGATGGGGGATTTACCGAGTGATCAGAGCAAAAATAAGGAAAAATAGACGTACTAGACAGGGCTTGATTATTATTTCTATGTTCTATGTTCTAGTTGTGGAGTGCACAACTGGAAGATACCCTGAACTCAATGTCAAGTTAGCGTTACGAACGTTCTAGCTTTCTGCTGCTGCTTCATATCATCGGCGCCTAGAGTCCGATCTCTTTACAATTTTCAGTGTTTAAAAATGGCAAAGAAAGAACTATGCATATACGAAATTGCAAGGGCATACAAGGACCTGCATGAAAGAGATAATTGATTCAGCACGCCGAAGATTAAATACCCTTTTGGACGCTTGTCTTATGCTTTTGCAGACATGTGAAAATAGTGAAGCTCGTAAATGCTAAATTTGAACCAAATATCTTGGCAAATAGCATATTACTCACATTTTATGACCGATTCTACCCATAGAGCTTAATGATATAGTATTTCGATATTGATAAGATGTGGCTTACATATAGGCAGCAAAGTTCCGACATATGCCTGGAACAGAAAGACGAGCCTGGGCACAGTTTCAAGAGGAGAGACAGACAGGCTATATCCACTAGCCCAGTTCATGCTGTTCCAGAACATATACTCTATATTTAGTTAGGCATGCCTTCTATGCGTTACACATTTCATGACAAAGTTAGAATACCCTACGCGAGGGTAAAGAAGAAAAAACGAGTTGACAAACCAGCAAATGCGCGTAACAATAATGTAATTGATTTCATTTGGCACTCAATAATATTATGTTATATTTGATTGAATAATTTGTGGCGTCTGCTGCTGCTGCTGCTGCTGCCCCCATTTCGCATTAGTTTGGATCGGACAAATGCTTTTAGCAAATTCAATTGGCAATTGCATTCGGGCTGTCAAAGCGTTTGCTTGTTGCCTGTTGTTGGCTTCCTTCTGGCCACCTTTTGGGGCCAACTTTGGACGCGTCGAGGTCTGCGGCCAGGCCAGAGACACTTCTTAGACAACTTGCTGTTGTTGTATATCGCTCTCTCCCTCTCACTCTCTCTGTGTGTATATGTGTTTGTGTCTTTCCGGTTTGACTTTTGCCACCGCAGCACAAATAAATAAATCGCAGCTATCGTTTGTTGTCGTGTCGCTGCTGACGCACAGGGACAACAACAACTACAACAACAAACAAACTGACATGACTCACATTCAAGCATACCTAACATACAGACTTAAAGTATGTGTGTGTGTGTGTTATAACTACACGTATATCTTTACATTAGCCCTGTGTCCGACTGCCTAGATACTCTGCAATTGTTTGCACTTCTAACTTCATGTTAACAAGTTAACAGGCGCTTTAACTGCGCTTCATTTTGTTCAGCTCGGTGCTACCAATCTTTAAGAGTTTAACAGTTATGTGTCGTTTGGTTCAGGGTTCGAACCAGCTACCTGCCTTAACATTTAACACTATGAACCCAGCAGTTTTCGTTCTTCAAGTCAAAACTTGACTGAAAAATGCAACGTTTACTTATTTTGATAGAAGGTTCAGTTCATGATCAAGTTATATAGGTATTTAGGATTTGAACCAGCTGCCTGCCTTGACATTCGGCTCGTGAACCGGGTTTATCAACAACTTAAATCAGACTTGGTTTTCCAAGTCAAAACTTGACTGAAAAATGCAACGTTTACTTATTTTGATAGTAGGTTCAGTTCATGATCAAGTTATATATGAATTTGGGGTTTGAACCAGCTCGGTTCAAAGCAAAATTGCAGCCTTCGTTAATAATATGTGGCTCAGAACTTTACAATAGCTCTATATGACAGAATGTATCGATATGCAACTGTTATCGTCGCATTATTAAACTGGTCACACTGCGCACTGCATTGCCCAACTGGTCACACTGCACTTATATCAGTTATATGCCCATTTAACAGGCTGATTAATTGACTGTACAATTTTAAACGGCAGCTCAGAATATAATCAAGTGCATTGCAATTTTGTCAATGGATAAAAAGGCAGCTGTCAACTTTGACATTAACATAAGCAGGCTTTACTTTGATATAATAATAAATATATGCACAAAGCAAGCTCAACAATGCTTTGAATGATTGTTAAGCTAACTTTGACATTAACAAGAGCTAATTGAATTTGCAACGCAATTGTACAACTATTTAAAGTATCTGTTTGCTGCGACACCAAAGCTAATATGCCTTTCATGTGGACCCAAGCGAAATAAAAGTGCAAGAGACAAGCGCAGGCTGAGATTAGGACAAAAAAACGCAGACACGAAACCAGTTTCAGCAGCCAACGTCTAGAGAAGACATCTACTAGACAAGAAGCGCAAAGAAGCTCAAAAGATAACGACAACACTTTTCGACTGTAGAGGGCGCTGCGCTGCGCTGAACATTTTCAGAGCTTGAACTCTTTAAAAAGAAAAACGAATCGATTCCCAGAAATGCATTTTGTGAAATATGAAAATAAATTAAGTGTTGCTTTGGTTCGCATTCAGCATATATTTTAGCCAGGGCTGCACTCGCAAGCAAAGTTGGCTCTGGTTCAGTTCATGAACCAGTTCTTTGCATTTTCGGTTCATGAGCCGGAATCATTACAATCATGTGTCTTTTTTTCCTTTTTTTTTGCTTAACTCTTTCGAGTAAATTTCAAAAAACAAACACATTTTTTTGCAATTAATCATTTCTTCTTCTTTTATGATCAAATTTTTGTTGTTATAACTATTAAAATCACCTTGTTTAAGTCCCGGATTAGAAAAAAAGTTCGCTATCGAAGTAGCCAGACCGAAAACCTTGAATGTTAACGTCATTATACGGGCATACTCTATGTGAATAAGTGAATAATATATATACCCTGTAAAAGTAATCTGTACGCTATATTCGATGCCATCAACATTTTCAGGCACTGCAAAAATTATTATTAGCAAATGTTGAATCTAAACAAAACTCGTTCACACGCTGGCAAATCATAAAATTTACATACGTACGATCCCAACTGAACCAACAGGGTATTTACCAGTCGAGCAGTTGGTTCCAGAGCTTTCTTCGTCTTTGCTTATTGTTTCTATTTTGTTTATTGCGTCAAGTAATCGCGATTCTGTTTTGCATTCTGCTTTGCTATGTTGTTTCTTCGAGCACTTCTTGACTTTCGTTCACAGTTTTCCATGACAGCTCCACCTTCTTAAGGGCACGCCCCCTTCCCTGCCAACCCCCCTGACCAACATTTGTCCGCCCACAGGCAAGATTAAGAGAGACATTTCGGGAATCTCGAAAGGGACGCGGATCTCGAAAAACTATAAGATCTAGAGATCTGAAATTAAATATATTATGGCATCCTATGCCATAAGCAGCGGGATCTCATAATTTTCACATCGATATCTACTGTTTTTTTTTTTTAAATATATCGATAAATATCGATTTTGGCAAACTCGATAATTAGAAGAGCTAGACACACCAAACTTGATGTACGACTGCTTGCATTAAAACTGTTTCACTTTTTGAATAACTTGCAGCATATCCCAAAGAAATAGACCCTTTCAAGAGCAGAACTAGCTATTTGCAGGGTATTTCGCAGTCGCATACAAAACAAAAGCTGATTCTGCTGCTTCTCCCATCTATGCTCAGCTTGGGCCGACAACAGGGCATTGAAGGCAATGATATACTCTGTTGTGTGCGAATGACCATTCAAGTGTGTTGTTTACTTGAGCCCGTT